CCACACCTCACCCTATGCCTCACACCTCATCCTGTGCCCCATGCCTCGTCCTTGCCCTGTGCCCCACGCCTCGCCCTGTGCCCCACACCTCACCCTGTGCCCCACACCTCACCCTGTGCCCCACGCCGTTCTGTGCCCCACACCTCACCCTGTGCCCACACCTCGCCCTGTGCCCCACACTGTTCTGTGCCCCACACCTCACCCTGTGCCCTACACTGTCCTGTGCCCCATGCCTCGTCCTTTGCCCCACACCTTGTCCTGTGCCCCACACCGTTCTGTGCACCACGCCTCACCCTGTGGCCCACATGCCATCCTGTGCCCCACACTGTTCTGTGCCCCACACCTCACCCTGTGCCCACACCTCACCCTGTGCCCCACACCTCGTCCTGTGCCCCACACTGTCCTGTGCCCCACGCCTCACCCTGTGCCCCACACCTTGTTCTGTGCCCCACAACATTCTGTGCCCCACACGTCGCCCTGTGCCCCACACCTCACCCTGTGCCCCACACGTCGCCCTGTGCCCCACACCTCACCCTGTGCCCCACACTGTTCTGTGCCCCACACCTCGCCCTGTGCCCCACACTGTCCTGTGCCCCATGCCTCGTCCTGTGCCCCACGCCTCACCCTGTGCCCCACACCTCACCCTGTGCCCCACACCTCACCCTGTGCCCCACACGTCGCCCTGTGCCCCATGCCTCGTCCTTGCCCTGTGCCCCACACGTCGCCCTGTGCCCCACACGTTGCCCTGTGCCCCACACGTCGCCCTGTGCCCCACACGTCGCCCTGTGCCCGCGCAGCTCCTGGGACAGCTGGAGAACACGGGGCCGCCGCCGGCCGACAAAGAGAAGATCTCCTCGCTGCCGACGGTGGCGGTGACTCAGGATCAAGTCGGTGGGTGTCCGCGTTCCGGGGGGCTTCGGGGAGGCGGGGGTCCTCCCCGCGCGCACGGCCGGCTCTCCGGGGCCGGCTCTCCGGTGCCGCCCGGGCTCCGCACGGCCGCGCACCGCCGCTTTGCAGACACGGGGTTGGAGTGCCCGGTGTGCAAGGAGGACTACGCGGTGGCCGAGCCGGTGCGGCAGCTTCCGTGCAACCACTTCTTCCACGGCGGCTGCATCGTGCCCTGGCTGGAGCTGGTAAGAAGCGCCCTCCGGGGGTCCCCGCGCCCGCGGCCCCGCGCCGCCCGCTCAGCC